AAGGAACCAGTATTAAAGCAAACAGTGCCAGCTAGTGACTTCCTTGGGAGACCAAATTTCCTGTAGGGCAGGAAATAGCTCCCCCCAGCTCAGTTTTCACATTATCCACGATTCTGTTATGAAAAGAGACAAATGAAAGAATGCCAATAAACAAGTCAAACTACATACAGTGCAATCTAGCACTAAAAACGTGGAGGCTTTAATGTACAAAAACAGACATGCTGCAAAACTGCTCTAATACTGTTAACTTCTCTTGTGTTATAATAACTTTGTAAATGACAAGTTTGGTATTATATGCATGAGTACAGTTCTTATGCTCCTCCTCCAGGAGCATGTTATCAGTTGTATTATCATCTTCCCCTTCTGCGTAATGACTTAATATCAGTAACTGAAAAATGAAACAATAAAAGAAAACCAAATATAAACATGGTTTTACTGTCTAACCCATTCTTCTCATTATCCTATCTCTCAGTCTTCCTGACAATAGTATTCAGCCCCTCCAGTGTGCTTTAGACAGACCATGATGTGCTTTGTTCTGAGCTTATTGTTCACTGATTAACAGTTCATAATAGGCTCTTTGCAAAGATAAAACAAACTGGGCAAAGAAGCCCAGACTGATGGCAAGCTTTCCCTGGAGTACACAGTGCTCTTCTGCGGTATGTAAGTGTCCACAGAGTCAAAAGCTGTCCTTGTCCAGTAGGCACACAAGCAGACACTGTACCACACTCACATCCTTCCTGCTGCCTACAAAGGTTAAATACCTTTTTGAAATTATATCCCACATACTTAATTTTATCCCTATGCAAATATACCTATTTAAGCATATGTTATGATTTAATTCCACTTTCTTAGGATTCTCTAGCTTCAGCATGATTTAATGAATCCAAGGACTCATCTACCCCGGTGATCATACAAGGTTAACACTTTGCAGCACATCTGCCCTCAGATCCCAAGTGCTGCAGTAACGTATTTCAGCAGTATGCTAATGTAAATCAAGTGACTTTCATAAATGCATTCCCAAACTAACTGAAACGTGGATTATTCCCCATGCTTCCCCATTACACTTAAGAGAAAATGCACTAAACTTAATGTATAGAACTTATTTCTCTCATCCCTAAGTTTAACTTCTAGTCATGCTATTCTTAGTTATTGCCTACCAAGTCAAGGATAAAACTTGGATCACTACTCCCCAGTTGCACAAAAGGAGGATAGGTATGGAAACACTCCAAATCTACACTCTTAGAGCCAACGTTGACTGATGGTGCCAAAGCACCAACAGTTGAAACCCAAAGCTCTTCAATCCTATGCCCTTCTAGAGCTTCAAGGGTCATTCTGAAGGCTGTCAGAGCTGCAAGGACTGGGCCTCTGGAGACTATGAGGTTGCTTCCCAGTGCAAGAACAATTTAAGTACAATTTAACAGTGTCTGCAGAATTATTTTCTTAGCTTTAAGACACTATTTTTAAAGCAGTCGTCCCAGTTTTTTATGAGTGAAGACCACAGATGCTACTTGGTTCATGCAGCACTGTCCCCTAAGGAGATGAGAAGCAAAACTGCACTGTCTACTTGTATTTCTGTATCAGCACCTCCTAATGGAAGTTACAAGCAAATTCCATTTTCAATCTGGAAATGGAAAAAAAATCTGACGTTTTATTTTAAGCTTCTATAAAGGCCAGATGCCTTCAACAATTTCCAGTGAATTAAAACCAAGAACAAGTTCAACCCTTGGCAGAGTCTAAAGCAGAGCCAAAAAGTGAACCTAGATTTCTTTCTTTTCAATGGAATACAATGTCCCTTGTACATTCCTTGAAGTCAGTTACAGAGTTTTATATGATTTGGTCCCCTCTGTTATAATCAGTATTTCTGAAATACTTTGGAGACTTACCAACCTAGAGTTCTGGGGCAAAGAAGTCTGAAGCCTGCCTAGAAAAAATGAATCCAGACTGGTGTTCCCTTCCTATGAGTCTTCCAAAAGGGTAAGATTTCCTGCCATGTTAGTGTTAACTTCAGACTGCTGTGGCAAGAGTGCAGAGAAGAAAACAAATGTGTCTAATTAAAAAATAAACGGGTTGAAAGGAAGGAAACTGGGGGGGATCAGAATTGGAATGTGAAGCGCAAAACACACAGGAGACAGGGAAAGACACAATCCCAGCTTGGCCCTGCACTGGCATGCTTGAGGAGGCTCTTGGCCCTGTTTCTCAGCCCAGTCCTCTTTCTGACCTTAGAAACAAATTGAAAGAAATATGAGGCATTACTCCAGAAGGGCCAGCTAAAGGCAATGATGCAGGTTTAAGTTTGGTTTTATGGAGATTTAAAGAACACAAATAAAAGATTAAAAATAAAAGAGATTGATTTTAAAATATACCTATTGTGAAAGAGCTTTGACACCTCTGTGATCTCTTTACTGCCTTATATCAGAGAACACACGCAGGGCATTTTCAATTACTTTAATTATGTGTCAGGGTTATTGATGCACTAAGCCCTGCCAGCCATTCCACAACATTATCTTTAATCGCTAGCATTTTCTTATCTGTGTTCCAAGTAAAACTATTTTCAGGTATTTTATTGGATAAAAAGGGAATGAAATAGAGCATTTAGATTGAATATAAGAAGATAAGAAGCTCAATTTTCTCACTCATCATAATAAAATAATTATCACACTGGCATTATTTACCTTTGTAAAACTTCAAAAATCTTTATGGCATAACACTAGGACTCAAATCCCTGTGGTTTCTTTAATACCTTACTAGAGACCTTGAATCCCAGAAGTACAAGCACCAAGGAGAACAACAGTAACACCATCTCTCACACCGGTCCATTCTATCCTCAGCAGCAAAGGAGACTCATTATGAAGAGACTATATGAACTTCCTTTGCCCCTCTACCCCCTGCCAACCCTTGGGGTGAGAAGAAATCCAAAAAAAGCCCAGAAACAAGGTTATCAGCATATATCAGCACAGAACCATTGAAGTCACATTTCTGCCTGGAAGCCAAATATGACTGGAAGTCATATATGTGTTTACCAGAGGGTGAAATGCCTCTCAGAATTCTGGGTGCTACCAGACATCCAGCATCCTAACTGCATCTGCATATTGTAAAGTTATTAACAGAATGACTTCCATAAGTAAGTGCAGAGATTAAACAGTAGTCCCTGACTAGAAATGATGCTGCCCACCTCCTTTCACACTTGTATGTAGGAAGAAATTGACAGATTAGAGCAACCAAAGTGAGGGAACTGCACTTTTTTCTTATAGGGATCAACAAACTTCTGCAAGCTACCGACAGAAATCCAGAGTGCACCTGCTGAAATCGCAGAAGGATGGCGGGTGACATTCGCTCTGTGCTTCTGCCTGAGCAACTCAGCGGATCCTATTTCTAAGATCCCAAACACCACCTCATTGCATATGTGTAAAGCACTCTAATATCTGTGCTACAATAGCACATTTTCAAAGCACATATCTGCATTAAAGTAGACTGTACCTTTGGATATGCTCACTGTCACTTATAGAGTTATTCCAGCACACAGTCAGCAGGAAAAAAAAGATTGAGTTCTGATGACAGTTTTTAATACAATTTTTGATACCTTATGTTTAATAATTGAAAGAACAATAAAAACTAAGCATAATAATGCAGGATTAATTTTAAGTCCACTGTTTGTATGGAGGACAGTTGGTATATAATCACTTTCTACTTGCTGTATTAGAGCAATCTCCATCCAGTAAGATGTTTCATGGCTCCCACTATACAATGGCAGGAGTAGCATTTATTTAAGACTCTGTCAATAACTCAAATTACTTCCACATCCTCTGGAGTCCAGGCTCCTTCCAGGATCTGACCAAATGGCAGCAAACCCTTGATGGAAGCAAGACCTACAAAGAGCACAGGCTTCTTCTCCAGTCTCTGCTCACCTCCTCAGCTGGGAAGTCTGCTCACTCTAGAACATGGGTATTTACATTCTACTCTGGAAACACTAAGCAGCCAAATGACAGCACTGATACTACTAAACAAAAGTTCAGAAAGGCAGATCCTATTTCCAAAACACCAACTCATTGTATATGTGTAAAGCACTCTAATATATGTGCTACAATAGCACATTTTCAAAGTACATATCTGTATTAAAGTAGATTGTAACTCTGGTTACTGTCACTTATAGAGTTATTCCAGTTAGCACAGGACTTCACAAAATACCTTTGGCTTCCTGCAGGGACTGGTTAACTACACACCGAAGTTATTCAGCACGGCTCTGCACTCTTTATGAGTTCAATTGAAATCCTGGGAAGTATTTCAATATGGCACATCTTACCTATGCTTCTGATTTAGACAACAACAAAGCACAAAAACGTAATTAAATGCAACAGGAACAAAATGTCACTGTTGATCTACTCCGCGCTCAATGACCTCTCACATTCACATCACAGCACCTCTGCTTCAAACAAGAAAACCAAACCAAAAAACAAAGAATAAAAATGAATTACCAGAAATAAGGAGCACCGCACAGAGTATCCATCAGAGTTTTCCCAACAGTATCTCTGTTAACAAACGAGTTTTTCTTCTTCTGATGACTAAGAACAATCAGTGAGGACATCACCAAAGCTAAGTTACTCCAATTACCTGACTCATTGATTTTACAAGATGTCAGAGGTAGCTCAGGTGTTACTGAGCAGAATGAGCTTTTGAACACAAAACCCTGTCTGAAGCTCTGCTGGCAGTAAAAACTGGCACAATTGAGTAACAGCAGCTTGACAGAGATTCTTGTGAGCAAGATGACCAGCATCAGCCCATATGCCATTGCTAAGCTTAGTCACAAACACACAGCTTTGTCTTCTCCCTTCTCTATTTCACCAGCTGGGAAAGCCATGTTCTGTGCTATTCTAGACATACCAAAACCAGAAGAACAATGAGATCAGAGAATATTTTTATTCAAGAAATACAGTTCAAGAAACCACAGAGCATCTGCAATTTGCGCAGTTGTCTGGGACTAGGATTTCAGCTTCAGGGGGTTTTCCTGGAATGGCTAAATCATTACAGTGCAAATTCTTTTATACAGCAGGGATGTAAGAGAGAAAAAAATAAGAGAACTATGAAACAGAGGTATCTTGCAGAGGAGGATACAACATCCTTCAAGCTGTTATTTCCACCAAACACACCCCTCAGCCAACTCATTGCCACACTCTGAGCATCTCTTTGCTCCTGGGATACAGAGTGCGGCACAGGGAAAGAGAAAATCTCCATGCCTTCACAGTCCTTGTCAACAACTCAACATCTTCATTCAGAAAGTGATAAATCCCAGCCACATATAACTAATTGCCACAATAAAAGAGGGCTGTATGACACAGCTGCAAGGAAGGTGGAACAAGAACAGGTACATGAACAAAGAAATTCAAGTTCAGTATGGCTTAGCACATGGCCACAGGAATAAGCCAGTGCTAAGTACCTAGTCAATACTCTGGAGGCAGCATTTTGGTTTGGAAGTACCATACACGGACTGCACTTAGCTAGACAACTTGTAGGTAAGTTGAATACTGAGAACTTCAGAATAAAATGGCACAGGAAGCGTATTGTACAGAAGGGAATTCAAGTTGAATTTAGCAAAAACACAACTGCATTACATGACTTGCATAAGAACTGAACATGAGACTGAAAAATGTAATGATATGTGCTTTCCTAAATAAAAACCAACAACAACACATAAGCTGTTATGTTTATAGCAACGTAATGTCTTTCGACTTGCAGTTTTAGGAACTTCTGATGGTCATTCTTAGAACAGTTCTCAATTAGCACTGTGGAAATCTGCCTTCTCCTGGGAGCTAAGAACACTGGATTACAATTGAAGCTTGTCTCTCAGCCTGAGCTGAGAATGTAACATCTTCACCACATCCTTCTTGTAATTGATGAAAATGATAAACAGCTGTTGGAGGGAAGAAGAAAATAAGCCAGGACCAGAAGAACACATACATACATGTTGGAGCTGAGGAATTTCATCAGGAAAGAAAGCAACAACAGAAAAGCATTAAAGGAGTATTAGCAAGGAAAATAATGATGCCAATAAAAAAATTGAACAACTAACGGGCACCACAGTGAAGATTCACAAATAACACAAGAAACCTGTCTCCAAAGCAAACTAATACATCTGATACATAACACACGCAAAATCATTCACAAGAGACTACTGATAATGTTTAAAAAAAAAAAAAAAAAAAAGCAAGCTACACTTTGCAAAAGAAAGCTTTGCACCTATTTAACTTATTTCTAGTCAATCGCAAGGTTCAAAGCTGTTTTTCTCTCATCTCTCTCCTACTGAAGCTGCAACTTCTCCCCATGCATCTCAGTAGCATAAGATCTGCTGGATTGTATTTGCTGTCCTCTGCAAGATGGAACAGAGATGAATTTGCAGATGCGTTTAGGACACATCTTAGTTGCCTCAGCTTAATTTTCACCCTATTGTGAAAATGTATTTGTTTAGGACACACAGCAGAGGTCTAAATGCAGTACTACTTCACTCTTGCACACTGGAGTTCCATATGCCCTGGGCAGACCAGCAGTCCAAGTATGGGGCTCAGCGCTTGCGGCTGTTCTAGTTTCTGCTGCAGCACTGATGCTCTCCACACTACGGTACTGTTTGCTCACTTTGTGTTAATATCTGATGGGATGGCACTATCATTGGTGCGGTTTATAAGGGCAGTAATCCTAAAATCTTCAATTGAAAAGATGCTGATCCCATAATTTACCTTCTCCTAACAATGACAGCATATCAGAATAAAAAAGCAGTTTATAAGAAGCTCTCTCTCTCCAATTTTGATGGATATCTTTTTAGGAAAAAAAAGCTAGATTTTCCTCTTCTCACATCATATTCAGCCATTATGCTTTTTCTCACTATTAGAGAAAGCAACAGTAATGATTTCAAGCAGCTTTGCAACTACAAATATTCATAGATAGAGATTTCACAGAACAGTAGGACCCTATTTCTGATTAACTTTTTGTTCTTGAAGCATTTTATTATCCTAAAAACACATTTATCTCCAAATATTAATATTTGAATAATGACTACTGTGTACCTAGCTGTAGATGTGCCAGTCAGAAAACCAGCGTTTTATACCTACTACTTCTTATGATTGTGCATAGCTTCTCTCTCTATAGTTGGCACGAGACTCCTCTATCAGACATCTGCCCACAGATATCCATCCTGCTTGATCACTTCCTTTTGTTTGGCTATCAGCTTTTCTTTTGCATCATTCAATAACCCAGGTGTGTTCGATACAGCTGTACTTAAGCCCTTCACTGTGTACTGCATATCCTCCAATGGTTCTTTTTATTTCTTCTTGTTTCATTAGGTGTCTATTGCAACTGAATATTTTACGCTGAAGACTTTCAATTACTCATGAACAGGCAATATTACTGAGTTTCACAGTAAACAATTTCCATTCACCATCTAAATTATGTTGTACATCAACAGAATAAACCACATTTCATTTCTCCAAGTGTGCCTGTAGATCTGCTTACAGTTTCCAGCTGATCTGATTCTTTCTCCTCACTCATCAACTTTTAGTTTCGTGACTTTTTGGAAAAAATTGCACCAGGATGGCTTGAATTAAAACCTCTCTTAAGTCCTTGCTTTACTAGATCACAAACTCTCATAAAGATTAGGTAGATAGTAACAATCACCCTAGATTGAAAAAAATAACCAAAACAAGAACATGGACTTCTCTCTAGTGACTTCTGTGTTCTTGTCTCATGTGAACCGACAGCCTGTACATTCCTCACCAATGTTGTGAACATGATGAAAATTGAAGATCTATTTCAAATTACTTACTTACACTGACCTGCAGCTGTTCACATCAACACTGAAACAACTTTATTGGAACCATTCTCAAGAGCCACTGCTCAGACATAAAAAACTCATAGCAATTTGTGATTCACACAAGATGTGTCTCTTGAAGTATTGCCAAAATTTCACTAACCTAAATGATGATAGGTAAACAAGACAGAGTCAAGAACTACTATGGGTTAAACTATCTTCCATTATATGAATGCACAGAAACAAATAACACAATCTCCTCCTCCACCTAAGCAACAAAACTTGCATTGTTACAAAAGAAAAATAAAGAAAGGTGACATTATGCAAATCAGAAACAAATTCTTATAAGCCCTTACCTTTAACATCATTACTTACTTCAGTATACCTTCCTTAGAGTTCCTCTCCAATGCCCTAGTATGTATCCCAGAAAGCCTTTCTCCTCCTTACTTCCAGTAATTCTAGAACCCTTAACACCTGTGCTACAGGACCACCACCTATAGAGCACAACCAGCTGAGGAGAAAATCAGTGAGCAGCTGATTTTCAAAACAGCTGAGCATCCAACCCACAGCCAGCCAGAAATGCACACCTGCAAGGCATAAGCCAACATACACCTCTGCATGCTCATACAAGCACCATGTTTGTGCACAAAACCTGGTTAGTGCAAACTCTAGTCCAAAAAGTCACATTTATGTCATCTGTGCTTAGTCTAATGCACTCAGCAACCCACACGTGGGAAGGAGCAGAACATCACTCAAACAGACATGAAAGAAACATGAACAATTCATCAGGCTGGAGAATTGGGCCAGATCCCCAGAGTTTTGTCCAGCTTCCATTGGCACTTTCGGGGGGTGACAAAGGGAGCACTGCTGGGATCCTATTATGTGTCATCCAAAAATCACTTTGGACAGATTTTTCCTCTTTCAGTACTTCACCCCAGTTTAAAACAGAAGCAAGATCTAAAAGGACTCAACGTGAATTCATGTTTGATTCACATGACTCAACACACCAAAGGTCAGGACTGTTGATATGGGGCAGCGCAGAGGCAGAAAGCTGACTGGAAGCTACATGTCCCGAAGCAGGAGAGTTCAAGTTAACCAGTAGGAGCCTTGCAACATGCAGCAAGTGGCCAAGCTGGTGGGACTTTATCTGGTTCCATCTCGGCATCGCTTTTCTGTACATTTCCCTTCAGACTGGAAAAGTAATCAGTAAGTGTCTACTAAACCAACAAACGTCTTATGTTCCAGTAAGCTGTAAAAGGTATGTCACATTTGTGAGACTACAACAAAGCCAACGATGCTTTCCAATTAATGAAGTCTCTCTCTTGTTTTTTATCATGAAGTTTTAAAAATGTTTCAGACAATGAAAATACACTTCATGTTATCTTTGTGCGTATTGACAGGTTAAAAACAAATCTGACCCTTATTTAATTACTTACAATGATTGGCACATTCTTTATAACAAATAACAAAGCTTTGGAAGAAATCCTAAATGTATCACTTTGATCCTCGTGCTGTTAACACTTAGGATGTACTCAATTATAAAGTGCTTGCAAAACTGACAGACGTGTTGTTTACATAAATCTCATTAAATTGCTTCCGTTCTCCAGACGGATGGCTTAAGTCGCTACAGTACCAATCCCAAAGAGCATAACTGTATGCACAAAATGCTCTATTACAGATTAACTGTGAACCCATTAAAGACAAACTAATACTGTCGAGATACATCTGTAAGGCACAAGCAGGATATCTGCAGAAGATTTTGCTGCATTGTCCACACCAGGTTGCAATAATCATTGGGAAGCCCTTTGTCACAATGCGTGGGGAAGAGGTCTGTATATTACCAAGCAAATATGCCAGGTATTGCACTAATGACTTGTAATTATAAGGAAACTTATAAAAATTCATTACACTAATTAAGCTTTACTTTCTCCAAATAGCAGCATCATTTGATAAACAGGAGAAGGGGAAGCAGGAAGGAAGAAAATTTAATCAAACCAGTTCTGCTGCCTTTTTTTTTTTTTTTTTAATTTAAACAGGAAAAATAAAGTAACGATGAGGTTTTGTTTCTGAAGGAAGCGAGGCATGAAACATTCCACTGTTACACAAACCAATCATTCTCTGTTATTTGCCCAGCTTGCTGCATACAGAGAACACTGCAGAGCAAATTGTTGAGAAAGCTGTCAGCTGATGCCTATTCAGTCCTGCAAACACTGGGAATGGTGCTTGGACAAGCTATTTCCATCCTCCCAGCACCTTGATACAGCGTGGGTCTGAGAGCCCACAGGCAGATCTTCAGTGAAAAAGACTAAATTTTAGCTAATACTCTCTTTCTGTTAGTATTTGTCAACTCAGCATGATTGCATTATTCCTTACCAACAGGCTTTTAATCAGTTTCGGCACACTGCAATCTAAGCTTCAGTTCAGCATGTAATTAGAGTGACAGCACAGCAGTAATCGTTTGCTCTGGCACTCATGACACAAATAAAAATCAATTCTTTAATTTCTGTGGAGGCTGTATGGATTGGGCCTTAAGCATTCCCTTCTGCTGGCTACTGCCATATGACAGGTGAACTACCAGCAATCGAGATCTGATCAATTGTTGCATCCTTCTTTATGAGTGTAGAGTTGACAGAAAAAAAACAAACAAACAAACAAACAAACAAAAAAAAAAAACAAAAGATTCAACTCTGTAAGCATCTCTAGGATATCTGGCTTCCATAGGTTTCTGCCATGCCTGCCATTTTCAGTGAAATAGCGTTATGAGGAAGAGATTCAGGAATCCTTCATTAAATTAACACTGGACAGGAATAAAATTCTCAGCTCAAACGTAGAACAAAGTTGTTTAACCATCAAAGTTCTATGACCAGAAAAGCAAAAAAAAAAAGCCTTCCCGAAATCAAAACACTTGAAGGTTACTGAAATGATGTTATTATGCATGAAAAACTCACTGCACTTACAGAAGAGCAGGAGACATTCCTGTCCTCAGACATCACCGATTCAATCACCAGAAAGATCAAAAGCAGCTATTTGCTCAAAGTAATTGGCTGCTTCTATAAAATTTTTACACTTCAGTGATCTTAACCATTCCGACACCTCCACTCTTGAAAACCCAG